ACTCGCAGAATTTTAGTGGTTATTTTTTACATGAGAAATTATGATTATATATACTCAACTGTTACGAATTTAATTCAAGGTAATAGACAGAACGTCATTGGCTGATAAGATTACTGAAAGAATCGGTACACCTTAAGACCTGACAACCTCCTCAGTAGGCCTGGCATAGAGATAACTACGATCTGAAAGTATCTATTCAAGAAGGAAATTCTGCTACATGAGTCAGGGTACTTGTGCAGTCTCCCCTACTACCTAACTACAGATATTAGGATTAAGAATCTCAAATTTCAACACTAGATTGTACAAGAGACACACCTTGCTTCCTGAAAGTTGAGTCCAATCCTAAAAATTCAAATCCTATAAAAGAAGAAACGGAAAAGCGACCCAAAGGTGAATAAAAACTGATGTTGATCCCCTAAGCATGGAAAACTGAATAACAATCTTCCCCGTGAATTGAATAACTTTCTTAGAAATGCCAAGAAGTTTACGAGTATGGATGAAACAAACATCTAGCTAAAGCCGAAGTGTACAGTGGGCTAGGATAAGTTTTTAGCCACCCTTAATTACAGCAATTTTGGCTTGTTTAATAACGTCTCTTCTTTTTTTTTTTCAGACAATTCCGGGTTAGTATCAAGCTACGCTCATCTATGAACGATAGTTGACTTATATCTTGTAATGGAAGTTCGTGGAAGTAAGGAAATTAGTGAATTTCAACAAAGGCAAATAATAGGATGGCATCAGTGTGAAAAGTCAAAGAGAGAAATTGCTAGGTTTTTCCAGGTTAATCATCAAACGGTTAATAATATTGTCAAGAAAATTAATGAAGAAGGCCATTGTCTTGTGGAAGAACGTTCAGGAAGACCAAACATCGCATCTGAGCGGACGAAAAGGGCACTGAATAGGGATGTTATCAGAAACCGTCGTCAGAGCGTCAAAGATGTCGCCAACAACATGGAAATGTCGCCATATGCGATGGGAAAGACTCTGGAAGACCTAGGCTATCAAAGAAGAGTTGCAAGAAAGAAGCCCTTGATTTCAAAGGTTAACAGCAACCTTCGTATGGATTGGATGGAGAATTCGAGAACAAAGATTATGAATTTTGGCAGTCTGTAATTTGGTCAGATGAAAGTAAATTCTGCCAATATTCTAATTCAAGATTGGTTTATGTTTGGAGAAATCAGAATGAGACTTGGAACCCTGAATGTCTGCAGGCGACCGTGAAACATGGAGGGATTGGAATAATGGTGTGGAGCGCTATCTGGTCTGGAGGGAAATCTAAACTGATTCTTGTTGGCGAGCGGTTGAATGGTTTAAAATACTGTTAAATATTAGAGAAAGGAATACTCTCACTATTTGAAACCAAACAGATTGACAAGAATGTCTAACTTTTTCAAAAAGATGGAGCGCCATGTCATACGAGCAAAGTAGCTAAAGCCTGGAAGGAATCGCAAGGAATCAAGTCACTGCCATGGGTAGCCCAAAATTCTCACATGAATCCAATAGAGTACGTTTGGGGGCACCTTGACGGATAACTTTGAGAGCGTGCAACCAAAATCACGTCAGTTGTAACCCTTAAAGAAATATTGCTAAAGGAGTGGCAAAATATGGTTCAAATGTTTGTTGATAACTTGATCAAGTCCATGAAAAATCGAATACAAGCACTGAAACTAGCAAATTTAGGACCTACTCCATACTAGTTTCAAAACTGTTTATTTATGTTGAATAGGGATTACGTAATTAAATTTTGAAATTGGATGTAGTTTATTTCTTCTGGTTAAAAACCTTTCTTAGGTCACTGTAGAACGATTAAAATGCCACTACAACTCTGAAGATAGTTCAAATATCAGAGCATACAATATCGAATTTTTCACGTGTGTCGCCTGTTTTTCTGTCAGTTATTCGCTCTTGATAACCCAGCAATGAAGCAATTTTTTTTTGAGTGACAGAACTAATTTCAACTCGGAAGAAATTTCACCTCGGAACTAATTTCAACTCGATTTAAAAAAAAAAACCCTAACCCCTAACCCTAACCCTTAATTCCGAATTGAAATTAATTCAGCGCCCCATTTTTTTTTTTTTACTTACCTTTCTCCTTTTCCCACTCCTCGTCTCAAACGTTTTGCAATTCCTTCTCACGTGATATTATGCAGGCAACAAGAGTTGCCTTTCCCCCTCTTTTCTCGGTCCAGCAAATATTACACTCCAATCATCGATAGGAACAGACAGAATAATAGTGTTGATTTGGGGTGTAGGTAGAAAGAAAGAACTTATACGGAATGAAAAACTAAAACCTTACATAATGTGCGGTCATTATTATAAGAACAGTTGTGCTTAAAAAATCAGCAGTTTCAATCTGTTATAAAAGATTTCTTTGCCAAGGATATTTTATCAAAATCTTAAAAATGCGGTGGGGAATAAAACATAATTAATATTAACATTTTAAATAATGAATCATTCAGAACATTCTGTTTTAACACTCCTTTGAAGATTTTTTTCTCGTTCATCTTAGCAAATACTTAAACTGCACGGGTTTCAAGTGTTTATGCAAGTCTTCCTGATTTCCTCTTGTTGTAATTGACATTTGCTTCAAGGGAATGTCTGGAAAATAAGAAAAAATCACGAACGGATATGAGAAGTAGACTAAACATACCGCTTTTCATAAACTGTTCACCTTAAGACAAATAACAGATATGAATTCTTTGACTGATTAAAGAAATGTAACAATAGTCTATCTTCTGATGCAGCCAAGCAATTCCTTATTGTTGTCTCCAGATTCTTTTGCTGAATTTCCCCTGTCTTTAGAGCATAGAATTTTCCAATGAGAAAACAATGATCGAATCTTAACTCTTGGCAGCAATCGAAAACTTGCTCAATATTTACATCGGTCAAATATCTTGGTAGCTTACGACTCCTTTTTTCAGTTCTTAACACGATTGTAAAGAACAGAAAATATAACATAGTTTTGATAGCTGTATGTGCATACGTGAGGAGAGTGCCATACATAACAGTTCAATGCACTTTTCATTGCTTCTAACGAAATCTTCCTGTTTCTTAATATTATGTTTAGCTTTTGAAAGGCATCTTTCGCTATTTCAACGCGCTTTCGAATCTCAGCGTCACACTTTCCGTCCTCTGTTAGATATTTAAATGTTCGTACTTGCCTGATTCTGGCGTCTCCAATTTACAGTCCGCGCTTGGGCTGCCCCTTTTGCTGACAACCATATATTTTTTTATCTTCTTACAATTGGCATTCATCCTTTCTTCTCACCTTTCTTTATTATCTTCTACAGAATAAAGAAAAGTTCCAGTATTTTCTTTTCTGTGTCTATCAACACGGTGTCATTTGCATATCTTATGTTGTTAAGATTCTGGTGGTCAATAATGAATAGGAAGAAGATACTTGACGCAACACAACTGTGGTTCTACAGAGGGATGCTGAGAATACTATGGACGGAATATGAGAACAACAATGGAGTTTTTTAAGTAAAATGGAAACAAAATGGACACTTATGCTTAGAATCAGAAAAAGGCAATTGAAATTACTAGGGCACATAATGAGTAAAGAAGGCTTGGAGAATTTAACACTCACAGGACATATGAGAGACAAAGTAAAGCAACAGGGGAAAAATAAGTAACACAAAGCAATAAATATAACACAAACGACAATGTATGTATTAAAAGGAATTACAGCTATAGAGAATCGTAAGGAAATGAAAAGAAAACATTAAAAGAAGTTATAAAAAGTGTGTGTGTGTGTGTGTGTGTGTGTGTGTGTGACACGTGTGTATATGCGTGTTTGAAAGAGTTCAAAAGTCAGAGGAGGACCAAAGACGCGAACGCGCCTCATCGGCAGTATTCCTATCTACGCGCTACTACATCTGAAAGCCAGAGCTGAAAAGACCAAAATGGGTGAGTGTGAATATCATTGCATAATTAGAGGCTCAAAGAGCGCCCCCTAGCGAGCGCTTTTGACAAAGCCAAGTGGGATAACCCACAAGCTCACTGGGAATATTGAACTCCTTAGTCTTTGTTATGGTATACAACTAAAAGGGAAACTCAGTAACACCTACGGCTTTGCAGTATCCAATGATGTTGACTGGATGTTCTTGCTTGGAGTATGATTGATCCAGGCCAACATCTTCCTCCACTTCGAAAATTTCATGGGCAGATATTGCTTAATATCCAGAGTCACAATTGAGATTTCAGTTTTGCAGTGATATCTTGCGATTATCATAACTCTACAACGACGTGTGTGTAATATATATATATATATATATATATATATCAGTTGATCTGATGATTCGTTAGGTGAAACCTAGGTAGATAAGTTCTGGCTAATTAGGTTTTTTAGTTTTTGCTCTACTCAGTGTATTGAGTAATTTTACATTTTAACTTAATTTACTCTGTTGGTTGTTTTTTCTTTTGGCTATACATTGCGTTGGTGATTGATTATTTTCAACCGGAATGGATGTTTTTAGTTTTTTCTTTTTTATTGACTTTTTTTCCCTGATATCGGGTTGTTTAATAATTTTTATTTACAAATTGTATTATTTGTTTTGTTTTTTGGGTTTTTTTTCCCCACCGCCCGATTATCGGTATTAAAATAATATATATATAATATAGCATTCTCTGAAACATGTTTGATTGAATCCTATTTCTTATTAACTTTTTCAAATTTCCGAATCACTTGTTTTATATAATAGGTAAATTTACCAAAGTTCATTTTTTACCCGAGTACTTTCGAATGTTGCTACATTCGTGTTCAAAGATTTCGTTCTTTGCGTTTATGTAATTGTTTTCGGTTAATCCCGGTGTTCCTTAGATTGCAGGAACCAATTTCAAGCCACTCTCAAGTTGACGTCATTTTTGATGGCCAAACTGAATTTTTACGTGTATATAACTTCTTTTTTTTTTTTTTAATACACATTTCAATATACGATTCCCTATGGAGAAACAGACCCTATTTGTTGCTGTCTGCTTCCTTTCTCCATAATTTAGCGTACGGCCACATCACGTTGAAACACCGCTTCCCGTACGATCACCGGAGTTAAGCAACGTCAAGCCCGGCCAGTACTTAGATGCGTGACCGGTTGGGAATACCAGTTGCTGTAAGCTTGGATTTGCGGGTGGTGTAATGGATAATGGCTCAGAATTGTTAATCCGAGAGCTAAGTGGCAATTCTCATTGAGTCAGTCATATTCACGTACGCATAAATGACCTTGGTAAAGGCCTCTAGTAATGGGTTAATTAGTAAGACTTATTAAACCATTATCTCAATAAAAAATTCTGACAATCTTATTTTCTGGCTTATATATATATATATATATATATATATATATATATATATATATATATTAAAAAAGAAGAGAAAACCGCCGTTTTTGGTTGTAATGTGGATTTTTAAAAATATATATTATGCTTTATTTTCCATAGTTTTGCAACACTACCACACGAAAAAGAGAATGTTTAACATCAAAAAGCATAAGAAAAATGAATTCGTTTGAATAATATTGGAAAATATCCAATCTTTGCCTGAAGAAGTTCGCGAGACCCGAAACGCGTGTTGCAAAATTATGGAAAATAAAGCATATAAAAAAGAAAATACACATTACACCCAAAATCATTTGCGGTTTCTCTCTTCTTTTTAAAATATACACTTTTCTCTCGTTGGAACCACTATAACCACTTCCCTATATATATATGTGTGTGTGTGTGTTACGGAGATGCTCAAGCAAAGCTGAATAATGCCTTTAAATACAATTTTTTCTCTGACTCTCGAAATAAAATATCTGCTCAGTTTTGTATCCTAACGTCAGATCTAATGCTGGTTTTCTCTAGAAGAACGCAGGTTCGAATCCTGTCAGAGAATCATCACAAAATATCCTGGAATCCAAAATGTCTTTATTTCACGGATAGAAAATAAAATGGCGGTGTGGTAAGCTCATCCCATCTCCCCTCTTGATTGTAACCATCTATCACATGAAAATAAATATTTTTGGTATTAAAGCTGAATTAGTCAAATAAAACTTCATAAGCTTCTACTTAGAGTTGTTATAGATTACAGACGGCAACAACTTGTCTATTTTGCTTTCGGTCACAATAAAAAAATAAAATTATCCTTTTCGCGCTCTTTTTCTGTGGTGAGAATTTCTTAATTTAACATAACATTTTTTTCGCCTTCAGTTCCCTTGTCGATTCTCTTTCTTTTCTTTATTGCTACTCAACTTTGTATTCTTTTTTCGCTTCTTTTTAAATACTGTCATTTTTTTAATTTTGGCCCTTTTAAAGATGTTCTTATGCTTTTCAAATTGAAATTTCTATTTTTGTTTCTTTTTAATTTTTATTTTTCCCTTCTTTCTAGGCGTAATTCCTGTTAACCTTTTTAATTTCTAAGATTCGCCAGTTTATCTTCGTTCTTTTCACCTGAATTTAGAGAACAACTTAAAGCTTTAACGCTGGAAAAACTGTAAAGAGAAGCGATTTAAGTAATGAAAGCTGACAACAATTCGCGTAGAAGATGGCGTTTCCGATACACGAAAGAAAAAAAAATGAAAGCGAATTTGTCAATGGAACAAGAAACAAAGAAGAGAGAAAGAAAGGAAAAAAGAATACAAAGAGGGGGAAAAGTAATGCAGAATGAAATGAAGATTTTAGAGAACGGGAGGAAATCAAATTTAAGGTAAAGGCGGGAAATTTAGAGCAAAATGGCGAGGACATCATTTATAAGTGTTGTGTCGTTTCGTCCTGAATTTTCTCCTTGTAAGATTTAAGCACATTTTAAAGTATATTTTGGCAGGAATCTCTAAAAATATTTTATCATAAACGTACGAGCGGATGCAGACAAGTTATCAGTCCGACTAAGATCTCTCAAAAAAAATTAATATTTGATCAGAATTTTGAAAATGGCTCGACCCGAATACTTTCCAGAATCAACACTTAATTGTCATTAAAAGACACTTCAAAATTAACTTTTTATATTTTATTTATTTACTCTATGCGTACCACCTATTTTCTGAGATGTTCGGATTATCCGTGTATCCTGATCAACAAAAGTTGGCTAATTAATAGTTCAATAACCCACTAATTATGCATCTCTAATATAATAATAATAGTTTCTTACAGGCGATGATGGTGTATCTCGGAGCATCAACGATCGTAAGATCTGTCAGCACGCCTAGAATAGAGATTTGTGTGTCTTCTGGAATTTTCACAAACTAAAACAGCCATCAAAAAGCTTGGACGAAAAACGAAACGAACGTGAGGGATTATCTAAGAAAGGCCCTTAAAGAGGATCTTGTAGACTGTTTTGAAAAACGGAAGGTACTCTGACAAGTTTACTTGAGGGTCGTACCAAGAGGTGGGGACGACTATAAAATGGATTAAGATGCCGTTGCCCTGGTTAGGCACTTTTGTTTTCTGAGTGAATATTAAATGGCTGGATACTTTCCGAACAGACCTCGCAAGGACTTCCGTTCGTCAATAATTGTACTTCATTCCAATATTTGGACTCAATGATTAAATGCGAGGGGCAGGTTACTAATGGCGTACTTACAACAAAGTGCTCTGAACAAAATAACTTCTCGCCTTGATTGAAATTAAAATCATCCATCTTCTAATTGATAATGACAGTACGTTGTGATGATGTCGGACAAGTCTCAGCATAAACCTGACAACGCTCTAACGAAGAGTAACCAGGCTATTTTTATGTGCTATCTTAGAGAACGTGTGCGCATGCGCGCAGTTGAGTTATAGCTCAATGCAGTTAAGTGTGACGCTTATACTGAAATACATTATTTTTATATTTTTTTCTCAATGGTCAATGGGGAAGGGAGACTTGGAGAAATTAAACCTCCCAAGGCTTATCGAGGGTAAGAAAGATAAAGAAAGGTAACGGGCCACCTACCTGATGAGCTTGTATGAACTGGAACAGGAGACTTGGAAAAAAAAGAGAAACGCTGCTACGTGCTGCAAAGGACAGGAAGTTGTGAAGATCCATGATTGCACACGTCCTGAAGGGACATGGCATATAGAACAAACCATCACAAATTAAGCAACTCCTATTTTGTTTTAATTTATTTATGCCCGTCGTCCAATTTTTTACGGTATACATTAATGGGTTAAAAATTGATTGTCACGGTCTTGGGTACTTTTTCGATTATTGTGTTCTTGGCTGAATAAAAGCTGTATACAGTATTTTACCAATCTTCTAATGGCTTTTGAATTTCTCTTCAAATACCATCTCCGAAGATCAATACAAAGTCTGCTGAAAAAGTTCTCAACCCGACTCACTTCCTAAAATCTGAAGAATCAGACTTTTTTTTAAAGAGCTTTTTGGTCGATCCAAGGACTTTTCAGCACGTCTTCGTAATGTGCTTTAAAGAAAAGCTGCTACTGACATTTATATGCTTACATAAAACAAAATGTATCAGTCAGCCTAAGATAGAAACAAATTTGAACAAATCGTTTGATTTAATAAAGGGTCATTTGAAAATTATGCCATTTCGTCGGATATTGTATATTCGGTCACATGTTTCATAACAAATTTGGCTGTTTTCGCGTAAATAATATAACATTAAGTGAAAACAGAGAAACGATAATCCTCGAAATTTTCGTTAGTATAAGAAATATCTGTAAGGAACCAAATACACACACTTATCAAAATGACAAGAATGTAGGAATAGATATAGAAATGGTTATTATATATTTCATACACATACATTCTGTTTGGTCTGGATTTGAACGGAAATAAATCTTGGGTCCTCTAAATAGTGAACCATTTGTCGATCCTGCGGATACCAATTAAGCTAGTGTATATTATGCAAGGGTCTGTTTCTGCGGCCTATAAAAAACCTTTTCGTCACCAATATTTTCGTAAAATAGGCTTAATAAATTTGTCCATCGCGTCATTCCATACTTTTACAGTAGCAGTATTGAAATCGACGTAACCAAACCAACAGTGAATTTTAACGTTTGGTGTCTGTTTCACTTACTCTCCAATGAAGATGTGCAGGTGATAAAAAAATAACAAAATATGAACTTCGGGCATATATAAATTTTTTTTTTTTAAATATGATTCCATCGCGACAAAGTAACTATCATCTCTCATCAATCGAACTGTTCTTTCCTATTACATCAATAGACACACACACACACACACACATGTGTGTGTGTGTGAGTGTGTGTGTGTGTGTGTGTAAAAGTAAAAGACAATAGGAAAACTGTATTATTAGCCGACGCGTTTCAAGTCGGCTAATAATAGAGCTTTATACATATTGTCTTTTTCCACAGGTTGACACTGGGAACTTTTTCATATATATATGTATATATTATTTTGACAACTCATGTTAGGGAAAGCAGAAATAAGCATTGAATTTTTATATACATTTAAAAAGACAGACTTGATAAACACATTAGAGATAAATGATTACTACTTGTTTCAGTGACTTATTGGAGATGGAGTGGGCGATTTAAATACTATACAACTAATTCAGTCATGAAGAAATTAATTTTTTTTTTATTTATAAGGCGAGAATTGATAAGTTTGGCGCCTCAAATTGGCGCAGTCATGTAGAAATGACAGATTACATGAACAACGGAAAATTAAGATATTTTTTCATAGTAAGAGAAAGAATAGGTTTTATAACATATTCAGCTGGACGGGGTACACGAGATGACAGATATCTGCCAACCACAACAGAAAATAAGGATTTTTTTTTCAGACATATCGGAGGAATAGATTTGATGTCATATTGAGGTGAACTTACCATAACAAATGCAAACAGACAATCATTTTAGGGATTTTCCAGTATTTCGAGAATTGATGATTCTTCCCCTTAAGAATAAAGCTTATTTTCACAAAAAAATTCGCACACCGAGAAATCAAACAGAGGATTTTACTAATAATTCCATCTACAAACAGGATTCTCCCCAGCCTCAAGAACTACTGTTGGTGAGTCTCCACAGTTTCTCTGTTTATTTCTTACATCCGCTGATGAAGGACACATGCGTGTCCGAAAATTCCGAACTTGGAACCTTAATCTCCCTGCTTCATTTCTCTCATGTGGATAAATGTTTTTCGTGCTGATCACATGGGTACCCTTTCGTTTGCCTTTATTTTATTAACCAACTTATCTACTCTATTTTATAAGCTAAACACACGTGGACTCTTTTCTTATATATATATATATATATATATATATATATATATATATATATATATATATATTACTTTGTATTTATGGGTATTATGTTTTTTCGACCAACGCTTGAATCCAGATTAAATCCAGATTTCAAATGCTAATTTTCAGAAGTTAAACTCGTCGTCTTAATGGCAACCATTAAGACGACGAGCGCAAAGTATTCTCTTTAATCACTCCCGCTATCACGTGACCGACAGCCCGGTTTAGTAAATACGTCTACATTTATCCAATTAACTTCATGCATTTAACATGTGGCACGGTGGCTCCGATAAGTAACTGTCGTTTTTACGTGCGTAATTTTCAGCCTTAAAAGAGAAACTAAGAAAATGATTGACTGCAGACGAGAAGATAGTGACCTGACATTACTTTTACATCGAAGCAGGATTTCTTCTGACTTCTTTCTTTTTTTTCTTTTTTTTCTTTGTTTTTTTGTTTTCTTTTGATTGACAAGTAACAACCTCCATCACTTTTCTAATATCCACTCTCACTGATTATTTATCGAGAGAAAAGAAGACGGGAAGCAACTACTTTTGACCCGAAATAATAAGGAAAAGACATTTGCACTTATATTGGCCAATTAATGTTATTACCATTTATTATCTCAAGACAAGCTGAAACACTTAAATGGAAATTTTCATGCACGCGTTCAAACATGTGCAGAAGTGTAGGTGTGTTTGGGACACCATATATATATATATATATATATATATATATATATATATATATATTAAAAAATATATAAAAGGCTCAAACACTAAAATTTGAATTTGTAGGTCTGATGATTTAGATCGTGATTACGATTCCAATGTAATAAATTATAACCATGGAATATTAGTGTTTGAGCCTTTTATATTGTTTTTACTCTGTCCTGGAGATTGAGTTCTACCTGGATTCTATCCTCTTGGGAATATATATATATATATATAGCAACTTTAGTACTGTCTTTAGTAGGTACAGATATTTACCTAAACATTAAAAATAATAAATAACGAATGACTATGCAGTAGACGAAAGAACTTGAATGAAAGTTGTTTTATTTTTTTCATTTTATACAAAGAGAATAATATACTAACAAAAAAGTACGTGTTACATGCCTTCTCTCAGACCATGAAAAAGATAAGCTAGCGAATATTATAAATGTCCTTCCTTACTTACACTGTATAAGTCGGGTGGTGTAATGTATACCGGCTGGGAATGAGAAATCGAAGAGCTGAGTTCCATTTCCAGTCGTGTTTGTTATATTCACTTACGCACAAATAGCATTGGGAAAGGTATCTATTCACCTCTTATTCTCCAGCTATGGATTAAACAGTAGGAATTGTATCAGAAAATCATTATTATCGCCAAAAAATTGATTACAATCCAAAAATATTTCCTTGCTTTAAATAACCTGAAAAAGTTGATAAGCTATTAAAAAAAAAACAAATCAATCAACACATCATATGGCTGAAAATCATCAAGCAATATTTTTAAAAACATTTGGGATTATCGTGCCATTTGTGATTACTGAAACTAATACAAATTAACATTTTTTTATAAAAAGTCGACATATATGAATAAATATTATGTACATTTACGAGGGTTGGCTGAAAAGTTCATGGTATGGGACCAAATGAGGTTTATTTTTCAACGCAAACCCCCTTGTGGTCCACACACTTCTTCCATCGGTGTTGCAGGGCATGGATCCCATTGATGAAGAAGCTTTCATACTGTCGGTCAAAAATTCATCATCAGCAGATATGGCGTCATTATCACTGCAATACAGCTTCCCAGCCAAGTGTTTTTTTCATACTGGGGAACAGATGATAGTCAAATCAGGAAAATAGGGAGGGTGATCAATCAGTTCAGAGCCAAATTCACACACAGCAGCCATTGAAACCAAAGAATTGTGTGCTGGAACATTGTCAGTTTAGTCCGTTTTCTTGGACGTTTGCCCTAAATAGGCTTTCCTAACTGCATCAGTAAGTTGGCATAGCACTCTCCATTGATAATGTGGCCCTTTGGAAGATAGTCTATAAACAATGTCTTTTGCATATTAAAAAACCGAGGCTATAAACCTTACCTGCAGATGAAACGACCTTGGTCTTTTATGGAACTTTCTCACAGGATATGCATTGGCTATTTGGTGTATAGTTAATTGTCTGTCATCCAGCACCATGTGGTGAAAACGATGAATGTCTTCTTCGGTGGCGGAGGATGCAGGATGACCAGACCTTGGGTCATCTTCAGGATTCTTCTTTCCGTTCTAAATTCAACTGCCCACTTTTGCACTGTTGATAAAGCTGGGGCGTCATTCTCTAATATAGCAACCATGAATGTCTTTGGGAGCTAAATCCTTTTTCCTAACGGTTATTGATAATACCACGATGCCAAATTTTGTCCATTTTCAAGAGAAGTCGCTTCTATTTACTTTTAAGTCTTCTTTGAGTTAGATGTCAATTTACCTGGAATAAAACAATTCATTTATTAATAGGACGAGTTGAAATTAATGCATGCAAGATTTGTTAATGTTTGTATAAAACTTTTCGTTCAAAATCTGTATTTAATAATAAAAACGTGTAAATTCTGTTCGTCTTATGGTTCGCATTCTATCGGCTCTCCTCAACTTTCTCTCGTTTGTAGCTCAAACAACGTTTATCCCCTTACAGTTCATGTTCTTCAATCCAATAACTCGTCAGGTGTGTTACATGGATTTAGGTAATAATGGCACAAGTAAATGACACCAGTAAAAATAGCACAATTGAAAAAAATATTAAAAAATAAGTTTATTGAAATATACACAACTGGCAAAAAAAGTTGGGTTTCTAATGAAATCTAATAAAAAAATTATATATAACCTTTTTATCTATTTTCAATATTAGCAAAAAAAAATTGTATTGTGCTAACCCCACTTTTACGAATTTTACAAATCCAAAAATTGTTTTACCTCCATTTTTAATATAAATTTATACGTTTAAAATTCATGAAAACTAATTTTAATAAAATCAAATATGTTTATACATGAGCACACCGTTTTATATCAACCTTTAAAAACAGAATTTAATAACTAGGATCTCTCTGTTGTGACCAAATTCACGTAACACTTGAACAAGTTTTTTATTTCCTTCTGTGTAGTCTTTGCATAAATTCTTTAGTCTTTGTTCTTGAGTGGGTCCCAACAACTGAGTCATTTGTTATCACTACACTACTTGCTTCTGAATCATTCTTATGTTTCCAGATAAATGGCTGCTCGTAGTCTGTTTTTCATTTGTGCTATTGTTACCGTTCACCGTGGCTCTTAGATTAAGCAAATTTGGTATAAATTATTCCTTCGTTGTACAGTATTCACAATCAGTTACTTTGCTGAATATGAACAAACACACACAACCCAAAAGAAATTGCCATTTATAGATTCCCGGGGCTTCAGATTGACAGGTATTTAGATAGGTGCAAAATCTGATGTCATTGGTAGTGACAACAGCCCGAATTCGTTTCAGACCGATGCTAATTCAAAACTCTCACGATCTTTAATTTCAAAACTCATGGCCGGCTTTCTGTAGTTGGACATGTGTAAAGCAAACCTTTTCACTTAGCGCTCAAGGGTCGACGTTTGATTGGCAGGCGTCCATATGTGGAGAAAAATCCTTTCGAAATTGAGGCTAGAGTTAATTGCAGTAAGGTTATTGCATGTACCCTCCACACACACATACCATCACGTTTTAATCATTTACCAGTGCAGTTTGCTATATCAGTCTGCATGTCTGTATAGGTTTTTTTCCCTACATGGCGAGTCAATTGGTTCTCTCAGACACGTTTAAATGAATGTGACTGGTTTGTAGTTACTAAAGAAAATGGCGGAAATCATTGATGCAACTATGAATATTTATTTTTTAACATTTTTTTTTTTTTTACATCTTTTATTATTTTAAATTTCTTTCATTTTAATTTGACTTCCTGGATCTTTTCTGTTAATTCACCCCAAATAATGTAAAGTTACTTATCACAAGTATTAATTCACCCTCGAGAAATTATAATTTTTAAATCAAAGTTTGTTTTTTATCAGATTCTTGACATTCTTTTGCAATTATAAATTTTAAATCAAATTTTGTTTAGCTTGCCTCGCAACAACTCCAACGCTCAGAATGAAAAATTACCAAAAATCAGGGAATTATTCACATTTTGTAAGTACGGATGATATTCGAGGTACTTACAAGGATTTTTTTACAATTTAAAAAAAATCTTTTTTTTTTTTTTTTTTTTTGGCTTATTTATCGGGGTAAGCACGAATGTTGACCCCACACTTAGAAATATCGCGTCCGAGTCGCCCACATTTGGGGCGATCGCAAAGGTCAACCCAACCGGAGTGCAATGGAAGACCCTCGCTCTGGAAGAATTTGGTGTGAATTTTAGTAAATATAAATTCATTTTTTTTATTTTATGGGGAATTAATACTTTGGATTGAATTAACAGAAAAGATACGACTTCTTTTTGTCACAACTCTCAGACCATCATTTTCCAGTCGTTAGTGTTGGGGCTTACGGCCGTATTACGTTGAAACATCGGTCCCCGTACGATCACCGAAGTTAAGCAAAATCGAACCTTGTCAGTACCTAGTTGGGTAACCGCTTGCAAATATCAGGTACCGTAATCTTGGGTGATGTAACAGCTCAGAATTATTAATTGGAGAGCCATGTTCCAATTCCCATTGGGTTCGTTATATTCACTTACGCGTAAATATCTTTAAGAAAAAGTATGAATCAGCCACTTCTCTCTCCTCCCAGTTATGGGTTAATTAATAGGACTTGTATCAGTAAATCATTATCTCCAAAAGAGTTCTTACAATCTAAAAAAAATCCTGGCTTTAAATAACCTGCAAAGAGTTGATAGGCCGTAAAAAACGGACGAATCAATCATTTAGTGTTGGTAGTCATAATATTAATTGAATTTCTTACATGAAGTATGAGCACCTATAATTTTTTTTTCTTTCATCATTTTATTTTCATTCTGAGGCCAGTAGCAAACAGTGCAGATCCCTGAATGTGAGGAGGGGAGCTCTAGACAAGATTCGAAATCACATCGTTTTCTTCTCCGTGAACCCTGTCCGTATACTGCAACATCTGTTCTTCTGTTTTAAAGACAACGGCTAAAGACAACGGCTAAAGAAGCCTGTCCTATTGAAACAGTCTTCTCAAGATTAAAAGACTCAGAGTACATCGCGACGAAAGTTTCTTACTTTGTTTCTTTTCCATCCACGCTGTTTATCAATGCCTGGATACTGATGGTGTCGATAAAAGGAAAATGAAAGCAATACAACTCAAATTTAATTATGACTAACAATGTTTCATTTAGTAAAAAATTCTAATATATTAACGACAATAAAATTAGTATTATTTTTTCGGCAGAAAGTATTTGTGTCCGGAATCTTTATTGCTATTGTCTCCTGGTATATTTTACCCCGCAACAATTATTACGGACTCAAATGTGAGCCCCTGTAGTAAATGAATAAAGTAACTACAAAACCATATACAAGCAAATAACACACACACACACATATATATATATATATATATATATATATATATATATATAGCAAATTATATATATATAATTTATTCGAAAATTATAACATAATTATTTTATAAAATCACATGTGTTATAATTTTCGAATAAATCATTTGCTCTACTCTGTACTGAGCACTCTTTTAAGAATAGTATTTTTTCGTGATTGGAATTTATTCCGTATACACCAATACTATACTTTATATATATATATATATATATATATATATATAACAATAATATTTATAATAATAATAAAATTTTCTCTTATACTTTATAATAATTTATATACTTTGTAGCAACCTATTCCATATTGATGACGAACTGTTTATTCCGATATCTAGTGTATGTTCTATGAGTGTAGGTAGCAGGGGATAGAAGTACCTTTGTTACTCAGCCACTGCTCTTATTTTTAAGATGGACGGGCAAAATCATCCCCTAAATCTTCACGCGCCAAACCCTGTAAACTGCTTCAGGAGGCGAGCTAAATCCCGTAAAATTACTATCGAAAGGCGCTGCACTCTTCTGTGCACTGTTAGTAGCGGAGAGGTATACTGAGAAATTAAAACCAGTGACACCACAAAGCCACAGCAAGAAACACGCTATACAATGACCCCCTGAACAACCTAAACAACCTGCTGAACACTTTTTCTTGTGTTCTTATATTATTTTTTTCTTTTTGGGACATAAATTATGTAGAAATTGTCCGAATGTTTTGTATACTCCGAGCGCTTTCGGCTATACTTTTAATCATTATCAAGAATGATTTTGTTCTTACTTTTTACTGAATCATGTTACATCTCTCTGGCCACAGTTCAATTAGGTCTTATTTAAATAAACAGGGAGACCTACCAAAATTCATAGGCAGCATACTCGCTGATAATGCAAATATAATGCACCTGTTAAAAAAAAAAGGCTAAAAATAATGGAAGCATTATTAATAAAAAATAAATAAATAAAAGCCAACACTTAATAGTATCAACTATGAACAACGGCCACAATGTAACATGATTCAGTTAAAAGTAAAAATAAAATCATTTTTTATAATGACTAAAAGTATAACCGAAAGCATTAGGACATTCGGACAATTTTTACATAATTTATGCCCCCCCTCCAATATAAGAACACAATAAAAATTAATCTATTTTTTGCTTTAATTCGATATATTTTTATTACTTCAAACGTTATTTTATTGAGTATATTTGAGTAAACGCTCCGTTTATTTTAAACAGTGTTTATTTCGTCTTCCTGACGGCACCGACGAGAAAAGCCATTAAAGAAACTGTGCCCTCCGGCAAGAATCGAACTCACAGCTAATCTAACTTGCTGTCTATGAAGTCACGTCAGGGTACCTAGATCTGATTAATAAGTTGGGGGGGGGATCAAGTTACTAATATTTTTTTTTTTTTTTTATTTCTTTTTTCCGTTGTTAGCTTTCCTTGGGTAGTTTTACTGTCAATGATGAAAAAATATCAATTCTTTCTGACATGCAATAATTATGTAAATTAATCAATGCAGATAATCAATGAAAAACTTTTTTTTTCTCATCCTTTTTCTCGTTTCTTCTTTTTTTTCTCGTTTCCATTTTTCTTGTTTTTTTTTTTTCCTATTTTTTTTTTTTTCTTAATTCTTAATTTTCTTTTTTTTTCTCGATTTTTTATTTTTCTAGTTTCTTTTCTTGTGTACATGTTAAAATATGGGTGTGGAGTATTTTTTTGATCAACAGAACAGTTCACTAAATAGAAATGGGTGTAATCAACCATCGTGTATCCTTTTCTTATAGTTGCAACTGAAATAAAATTTAATGTTAAATTTGATAAATAAAACCCCATAATTATTCAATGGTGAATAAAAAGCTATTTCTTTAATTTGCCATTCATTTGCATGAAAATATAGAATCAGGAATATTTAAAACTTAACATCTGACTTAGGCCCACCCCAACTTTTTTTTATTTTATGGGGCCCTGCTTAAATCTTTTGTAATCCGAAATGTTACCTCCAGTCGTAAATTGGGGACCCAAATTCCAATGAAAATATCTGCTGTCGATTGATGGTGGGTAAAGTAATGAGTTCGACCTTACTGGTTGTTTTCATCTCGTGATTCAATATATGGCAGCAATATTTTAAGCATTGACGAATAGTAAATTTATAGATATGTAAAATAGATTATGGAGAGAAAAATTGTTTAGTCCGACACAGTGAACCAACTTTCTTAGGAACTGACATAGCAATGGATTAAATATAGTCTTAATGAATCAGTTTGTGAGAGAAGATTGTATACCGTCATCAGGCTATTTATTAAGTTTATTAGTCTGATATTGTTCTGTTGATCAAAAAAATACTAGGTACCAGATTCTAGGTACCAGATTCTAGGTACCAGAGCGAAAAGCTCATACGAAGAATTACCATGAAAGTATTTATAGAAAAAGATACAAAGAGGCAACCTTACGGTGGTGGGAAAGTGATTGAAGCCGAGACGCCAGATCAGGACCAATAATATTGCTGATTCTTCTTTGCATCTTATCAAGGAGCTCGCTATTTACCTTGAGCTCCTAGAATTTATTAATTTAAGCGCAGTACTGAATTGGCAACAAGGTATCTTCTATGCTAACGCTTTCTTTTGTCGCACTTCTCACTTGTGGAACTCTCATCTGGCTCCATGTTTTCCAGTTAACTTTAATCTTCAAAAATTTAAATGCAATGTCAATCGCTATCTACTGTTTTCTTTATTAATCTTCTATTGTTCTCGCTCCTTAGTAAGGTTTCTGTTTTCTAATTCTTCTAAACTCAATAAACCCTTGTGTCTTTAGTGTGGGGTGAATTCAATTAAAAAAAAAACTTTGATCAAATATCCCACTACGTTCTGACTGTGTTAAACTTAGTAAATAAAAATATCTACAATTAAGGATACAGTCACGCGAATTTACTGATCGAGTGACGAAATAGTGTAATTCTCAATATATTCTTTTTTATGTCCCTTTAGAAGGTAGGTGATCATGACTCTCCACAGCTTCCTATTTTTGATGCACTAATTAATTTTTCATACTTTACCGTCCAACTTTCTCCTTTTTATTTGCCAGCCAGTCAGATAAACTCTTTCAATTGGTTGTTTGCTGTTTAACACAATGGACACAGCATGTAAGCAAAGAGGAAGTTTTAAGGAAAATAGGAACCACGAGAAACGTATATTGCTATGAAAAACAGACAGCTGAGAATTAACATGTTCAAGTCTAGAATAATGAGGAAAAAGGCTTGAAGAATTTAACACTCATAAGGCATAGTGAAGGCAAAAAATCAGGAAATGCAGCGACTATTCTACTTAAGGCGTTTCAGTGAACGAATGGCAGAACAAGGACCACTAAGAGAAGTGATAGTAAAGTATGAGAAGTTATTTAAAGCCACTATAAAGCAACAAGTTCTGGAGAGCCATGATCGCCTACCCCCACTCCCCCGAAGAAGTCAATGTATAATGTCAAGTTCATTGCCAATTATTTTATATTAGCTTTAAAGCCGCCCTATCGGGCGACATTTAAACTAGCTCCTGTGGACGTCACTTGATTGGGTCTTCATCACAATAGGCAAGAAAAAGTGGATGAGATAGGCAACAATGAACTAGAGAACTCAAAATTGATCGCTGCATTTAAGTATTGCATTAATATTTAAGCTTACCTTTTAAAAGTTCAACGAAAATTCTTCTGCCTACACTTAATTTAAAGACCATTTCATGTACGTAGGTCCTTACTTTACGTACAAACAATTATTTTTATTTCATGGGTGACTTTCGCTGGATTTCACAATTAATTTCGATTATTCCCAAATTTATTTCCAACTTGTAAAAATTGTTATCGTATAAAAAAAAATTCGCCGCTAAAATTCACGTAAAACAATCGCAGTAATGAAAACTTGGGAATCCAAAAATTCAGGATTATGGGTCTGGATCCGTCCCGGGATGTTTTTAATTTGCTCACGGAGTCTGCCTGATTCCAAAATGGTATGATATGTTGGGATTCGGCCTCTAGAAGTAAAGTTGAAAAAGCGTGACACAGTGACATTCGCATTTATTATACAGAAGAATGCATTGAAAAATCTT